GGGGGGGCAAGCAGGCGTACGGCTGCTCTGCTGCTTGGGGCCACAGTCACACATGGTCACTGTCCAGGGATTGGTCACTAATCCACAGGGATAGCATACGATGATTATTATGGGCTGGACTTATACCTACGCCTGCCTTGGTTGCAGAATGTTTAGGAGGACCTTGAGTGATCAGGAGGCCTGAGCCGCCCTGGCCCCTCTGTCAAGAGGACGTCTGAGGTATGGAGCTCTAGGGAGCAGTTTTGTATTATGGCCTATTAATTCACCCCTCTAATTGGTTTGTCCTCTGTGACCCACGATGCGCTGCTGCATCCCAGTTCGCCTGGCCGGCCGCCGTGAGTGTGTGCGTCAGTCCCGCTTCCCCTTTCTGCGTGGACGGCTCTCACTGCAGGGTGTGGCCTGCGGTGCGGCTCGCTTTGTCTCCAGTGCAGGAACGCCCCAGTGCAGGAATGCTTCACTGTAACTTTCCACTGTGGGGGCTGTCATCTCACCTCTGTCTCTCAGGGGTTGTGTGGCGAAGAGGTGGTGGCCGAGGGGGGGGGAGGTGCCTCAGTTCACTGCTGGCCCCTGGGATGTCGGTGCACTTTGTCAGCTGATGAGTGCAGACCTGCCCGCTCCACCCTCAAGGCCGGCCTCCCTATGCGGGCCACGGCCCACCCTCTCGGCTCTGTGCTGCTGTGCGTTTATTTTTTTGCCAGCCTGGAATATTCTGGGTAGCTGCTCTTCCGGGGCGACTGCTGATGCGTCCGTGAGTGTGGCTGAGTCAGCAGTGTGCCGTGCCTCTGGCCTTTGTACTGCTTGCTATGTGCAAAGGTATGTAACTAAAGGTCGAGGCGGGACTACAATTTTCCAGCAGGCAGTGTCCTGGCCGGCCATGTCCCTGAGGCCCAGTGGGCGGCCCAGTGGGCGGCCCACCGGGTACCTCGGTATGGGGCCCTAGCACTCATGCTGTCACAGGTGTCACCCCCCCCCCCCCCCCCCCCCCCCCCCCGGGGGGGGGGGGGGGGGGGGGGGGGGGGGTGGTTAGCGGCACCGGCGCTTGTGAAATAAGGTTTGCGGGAGCGGAGCATGAGAGAGGGTGGAATTTATATGCAGGTACT